TTTTTAAAAAGGACATAGCACTCGGTCCAAATGCTTCATCAAACAGAGCTAACCCCGCTTTCTTATAAATTAACAATGGGACAAAACCTTAAACGAGTTCAAAGCCAATCAGAACACAGGATTCGCCTTATCTTGCCTACCGGCACTGCCAGCGATATTTAGTAAATAAACCCCTTCGGGCGGCTGGTATGTCGGCTGATAATGTCCGCGGCTGAGAGATTGTCCGAAAAATGAGTATTTGGCCGAGAAGCGAAGCCTTGAGAGGAAATATGAAGTTTTGAGGACAATCTCTCAGCCAAGGACATTATCAGTCGATATACCAGCAAGCCAGAACAGGGTTTATTTAATTCATAACCCTCCCATTAATTTCCACATCGCAATTAAACTGAGCGTAAACAAACAAAAAAAGCCAGTGGTGATCTGATGGCGAATGCGCTTGATTGACGCGAGCAAGCAAAAAAAAAACCAGTTTGGTTTCTTTCCATGTAAATAGGAGAACGGAAAAGTTAAAAATCTTGTGTTGACTAAGTTTTTTTTTTTGCACGGAAAAAATAGGAGGACAAATATCGACGCGGACGGAGGTTATTGCGTGATAACTTTCCTGTGATTTTGCACCACGTGACGTATAGTAACCAATAAAATCACGCCAGAATTAATGGAGGGGTTATAAACTTTAATAACACTAAGTCTTGTGTAAATAGATTCATGCACTGAACTTTAGAATCTAGTAGCTCACCATAACTTGGAAACACACTTTTCATCTCACAATATTCCATAGCTGCAAAACAATTACATACAAACTCTTAATTGAAATGAAGAAAGAGGTTGAGAACAACCAAAAACCAGAAACCGTCCTCAGAAGATTCCAATGCGCAAGTCATTTCACAAACAAACAGAACAGAACTCACTTTCTCCTAGAATGTCGCCAATCAAGGTTTTGCATTTACTTGGTTCCAGGCCTACTGGGAGACTGCCAACAGAATTGCATACACTTCCCAAGGGTTCTAAGTTTTGCCTCAAGTAGAATCGTGTGAGTTTCATTTTCCTTACAGACTTCTGCAAAGAAAAGACGTTAAGTCAATTTTATAGAGAACCTATGATCTTCAGATAAAAGCAATATTTGTCAATATATATCATTAGAAATCACTTTGCACTTATCAAAGAAAGTTTTATTAAAGACAGAATAGCTGGAAGCACAAAATTATATAAAGAGTAAAATTATGGCTATGTAATCCGGCAGAACTTTCCTGGTTCTATACATTCTAAAAAGAATTCAATCTGGTAAAAATCAAAGTCCAGATGGCCATAAATTTGAGAATAGCCACCATGATTGTAACTTTAGAGGAAGTCAATTGGAAGGTGAAAAGAAGAGAAGTGCCTCACTCAGATAATTAAAACAAACAAACAAACAAAAAAAAAAAGATAGGAGATTTTTGGGAGAGTCCAAAACAAAGAAAGGGGTCAACTTTCGTGAGTGAGGAGGGGAAGGCGATTTCCTGAAGAACGTTCACTCAGTTGAGGAAATATAAAGGTAATAAATTTATTAGAGTCCGTGAGGAAAATGTCATTTGCATTGAGAACTTAGAAGAAAAAGTATCAAAGTCCTCCCAATTGACAGCCTTTACAAAGTTCAAGGGCTTATTATTAATTTGAAAAAAAAGCTGAACATTACATGCATTCCAAAGTCCTAATGATTAATAACAAAATCTTACTTTTCTAGTATCCATCAAGGATTTCCATGGACAGTCAATGTGTTCCATTCTTCGTTCATGGACTGATAATTCAATAAGAATAAAAGTGGTGTGAGCTGGCAGGTTAATTATCAAAAGTGCTAAATTTGAAATTGAATGCACTGCATGGAGTTCTATGAAGAATTTGCGAGTAATTTTCTACACACGCTTTCGTGTATTTCTTTTACTCACGCGTAATTTCCGTGTAAACTGCGTGCAATATGGCGGATTTACAAGCATAATACGCACATGTAATGCTGCTATTCTTTCAGTCGGTATTGTGTGCAGTATTGAGTTAATAACTAAAGCAAAATTTAATGTCCTTTATCCCATTACGACCTCAGTTATGAAAATGAGACTAGAAAAATCTACATAAAATGGGATATGTTACCTCCTTGAGTTAGGTGTACTTCAGTCAGGAAAAAGTCATGTTCATTGGCACCCTGTGCATAAGAATTAATCTCATAGTTAACAAAAAAAACCAGAGGAATTCCATTCAAACTTCACTCAATTAGTATTTAATTTATTTTACATTGCATTAAAAATCAGTCCTGTGAAACAAAAAGAAAGATTGAGAATGTTCCAAAAGATTGGACTACATAATAAGGGGAAGAGTGATGGAAGTGAACTGAGAGAAAGGTTGAGAGTGAGAAAAGAGAGGGAAGGAAAAGGAAGCATGGAAGGGAGAGAGGAAGCAAGCAAGGGACAGAGAGGAAGCAGTGAAAGAAAGGAGGGAGGAATTGAGAAACAATCAAGAGAAAGATGAAGGGGTGTGAGGGGAGGGGGGGGGAGGGAGAAAGCAAAGAAGAAAGGGAGGGAGGAGAGCACCCTAACAATTGATGACATAACGCACTGAACATTGAGACAAACCTTCAATCCAAATTTTTCTAAAGCAGCACTTATCACATCTGAAACAGTTGTCTGTGCAGTCACTGGGATTGTCTTGAATGTTCCTGCCACACTGCATTGGGTATGTTACAAAACAATTAGTTCACTATTATTTAAACACCCACAGCTGAGGAAAAAATGCAGTTTTGTCCTTACTACT